GTGGTAAGTATGCGAGGGCTACCGAGGGGTGAACGACCTCGGCCAAAGAAGCTAGTTCAAATTGGGACCCTGAACGTAGGGTCGCTTACCAGGAAGTCTCGTAAGGTTGATGACCTCATGAGACGCAGGAATATCCAAGTCCTATGCCTTCAGGAAATGCGATGGAAGGATGCGAAGGCCCGCGAAATCGGAGAAGGTGTCAAACTGTTCCACAATGGAGTAGACACTAAACGGAATGGCGTGGCCATAGCGGTGGCAGAATCTCTCCAGGACTGCGTCTCCTCTATGAACAGTATCAGTGATCGGATCATGGGAGTGAGAATGGACACGAAGGAGGAGTACTGGACAGTACTGGCCGTGTACGCACCACAATCCGGTTGCTTCGAGGCGGAAAAGGATGAGTTCTACCTGACCCTGGACGAGGCCATAAAATCGGTTCCGGAAGATGACTACCTTACCACAGCTGGGGATCTGAACGGCCATAAGGGAAGTGGCAGTAGGGGACTAGAAAGGGTACATGGAGGCCATGGAATAGGGGCAAAGAACGCTGAGGGAGAACGGATCCTTGACTTAGCCACAGCCCACGACATAGCAATCTGTAGCACCTTCTTTGCGAAAAGGACGACTCAGAATATAACCTACAGCAGTGGAGGGAGACAAACGGAAATAGAGCATGCCCTGGTCAGAAGATCGTCTCTTAAAACCGTCAAGGATATCGAGGTCTACTTGGGGAAGAGCTGGGCCCTCAGCACAGGCCTCTCCTCGCAGACATTGCCATATACCTCCCCAAGGGAACAAAGGTGAGAGCAGTGCGGAGAACACGGTGGTGGAAAATGCGCAAGGTAGAAAAGGATAGCCTCGGCCGAAGAATACTGGAGGCTGGGCTCCCAGTCCCACATGGGCCACTCCAGGACATCTGGACCCACGCAGTCGAGGTCAGAGACGCGAGGTGGTATCAGAGGAGACAAGGCAGCCTGGTTCTGGAATGAGGAAGTCCATGGGATCGTCAAGCAGAAGAAGGAAACATAAACGGTGGCAGAAGGCAAGGAGACTTAGCTGTCTACAAGAGCTGCAAGCGACTCGCTAAGGCAGCCGTTCCTAAGACCAAGAATACGGAAATGGACGCCCCGTACGAGAAGCTGGACAGCCGAGAAGGGACAACTTCGTCTTCCGTCTGGCTAAAGCTCGGCATCACGCGGCTCAGAACGTCAAGGTCGTAAAGACTGTGAAGAGCAGCAACGGGGCCATTGTCAGGGAAACAGCCGAAGTCAGAAAGAGGTGGGAAGAATACTTCGATGGACTACTGAACGAAGAATTCTCCTGCAAGGATAGCCCACAGATAGAGGCGACGGCAGGCCCCATCACTCCCTGGACGAAAGATGAAGTCCGCCGGGAGATAGCGAAAATGAAAGTTGGGAAAGCAGTGGGTCCAGACGGGGTCCGATAGAGGCATGGAAGGCTCTTGGAGACCTTGGGGTGATTTGGCTAGCAGACTTCCTGAACAATGTAACGGCTGAAGAAAGGATGTCGGATGCGTGGAGAAGCAGCACAAGCACCTCCATCTTCAAAAAGAAAGGGAACGCGACGGAGTGCTCCAACTACCGCGGCATCAAATTAACTCCCCATACCATGAAGCTGTGCGAGCGCTTGGTCAACACTACGCCGAAATTTTTTGAAGCTCTTTTGTTATGATAACTGCTGTTTATCGCAGCAGTACGCGTTCCGAGGGTTATCACAAGAATGCTGAGTTGCGGGCAAAAGTCGTACCCCAGGCGGGAGTCGAACCCGAACCTCACGCTATCCGGGCGAGTGCGCTATCTATTACGCCACCAGGGCCGCTTTGACCCTCAGTTTAACGGCTTATGCAGTAGCCTTACAGCACTCACACGTTCCGGTCAACCGTAATCGTTAGATATCGGCATGGAACCGCAAGGCTGAACTCTTTACAAGTTTTTTGAAGCTGTTTTGTTTTGATAACTGCTGTTTAACGCCGCAGTACACGTTCCTTTGTGATAACACTACGCCGAGAGAACTTGTCCCTATCTCGCAGAAACAGTTCGGCTTCATGTCCGAAACTCACTGATGCCATCTTTATCGTCAGACAGCTGATGGAAAAGTACCGAGAGAGCGGCGACCCTGCTACCTAGCATTCCTGGACCCTGAGAAGGCATTCGACCGCCTGCCTCGGCCTGTACCCTGGAGAGCGCTCAGAGAACGTAACGTTCGGGAGCACCTGGTGTCCATGGTGAAGGATATGTACGATGGGGCTAAAGCAGCTGTACGCACCCCGCACGGCTTGACGAAGGAGGTAAGCATCACGGTTGGGATACACCGAGGATCAGCCCTCAGCCCGTTTCTTTTCCTACTGACTGTAGATGTCTCGATGGAAGATGGAAGAACTCCAGGACAAGGTGCAGCGGTGGCAGGATGTGCTCGCTGAGAACGGACTCCGGCTGAACGCGAAGAAGACCAAGTTCATGAGCTCCGAAGAATATAACGAACCCATCGTAGACTGCCATGGCGAGAGCATCGAAAGGGTCGAGGACTTCCAGTACTTGGGGAGCGACCTAGCAGCTGATGGCAGCGTGGACAAGGCGGTGAAGTCCCTCATCAATGCAGCCTGGATGAAATGGAGGGTGTCCACTGACATCCTGTACGACAAGCGGTGCTCGAAAACGCTCGACGGCAAGGTTTTCCGGGCGGTGGTAAGGCCTACAATGCTCTACGGCAGTGAGTGCTGGCCCATGTGCAAGAATCATGAAATGCAGCTCCACTCAGCTGAAATGAGGATGCTGAGATGGGCCTGCAGCTGGACACGACTCCACAGAGTCAGAAACGAGGACGTCAGGGCGGTCACACAGACCGCTCCGATCCAGCTGAAGGCACGCGAGCAGTGACTGCGATGGTATGCGCACGTGCTAAGAAGGCCTGAGGACCACCCCAATAAGGAAGGCATTGGAATTCGAAGCGGAGTTCAAGCGACCACGAGGAGCCTAAAGAAAAGATGGAAGGACTCCATGAAAAGGCACCTCACTGAAGTGAAACCCATGGCAGAAGATGCAGTGAATCGGAACAAGTGTCGACGTCCAACACGAACAGCGGACCCTGCGACGGCGCGGGACTAACGCTAGGGAGAAGAAGAAGCAGTTGCACGGTATAATTGCACACCGCAATTTACCGATGTCTAACCCAGCTGTCTAATACCCTCCTTCCTGAACGGTGGTAGATGGTGCACGCGAGCATTCGCTAGATCGACATCTGTTCCTCCCTAGCCATCGGCACTTGAAACGCTGGTGGACTGCCGCACAGTATGAACGCAGGCTGACGCATGCACCACCAGTGACGGTTTCACATGGTTTTTTTCGACGCCAGCGCATGTAGCATGAACTCTCGTGGGTTCCGTTCCGAGCGCTCTGCTAGGGCGGCTAGGGATACACGACGAGAAAAAGTAGCATCCTTTCTGGGTGCTACGTTGGTGTCCTTTTCTTTACTAAGGCAAGGGATCACTATGTGAAAAAGAAGCTTTGATATGACATAGAGCCCGCTTTGTTGAGTTTAGGAATAACAGTTTCCAAACTGAAGACCACAGAAGACAGCAGGATATGTGCAAGGTGAGGGAGCCGCTGCGAGTCTGTCCCATAACGCCGCTGATACAATATATAGATAATGCTCGGAAATTTGATTGTCTTCTAGAATTTATTCATCATATCACAGATACGATTAAGCCTACTGCAAAGATACAGATGTTCAGTACAAAGAAGAAGAAGGGTGAAATGATTTCAAGACCGCGATTATGACGAGAACTCCTATTAAGACACTTGGAGACAATTCCCACGATCAAGTGTTGCGGGTAGTTGGTGCTCCATCGTGAACCAATATCCCATAGGTAGCTCCTCAGTAGAAAAAGAGAGGAAAAACTTCTGGAACACCTTAAAAACAGACGTCACCCCAGCAGCCTTGGACGAGTATGTCGGGCGCGAAGGACACGCTCCCCATAGCAATTGGAGCGCAAAGCTTGAGCCGTGGGACCGTGATGTTAGTGCCAGGCAAATACTGCGATATTCGTGATCGGAGGTTAAAGGTCTAGGAATAAAATCCAGCCTTCTTTTTTCAAAAGCTCGATGGTAAAACTGGTCTGATGTCGGAAGAAGGAATAGTAACTATTGGATAGTGGTCCCAGCTAAAAGATCATTAAGTGAGTCTGAAAAACACACTAACTGCTCTTTATTTATTCTCCTCTTGCCATGAGTACGGAAGACAAACTACCTGCTCAGATCAAATCCTTCCCATCGCTTGCAGGGCATGAAACTCGAAGGTTTGCCGCTCGTTGTTCACAACCTCCTAATTAGAATGGTGCTTGGAAAGACTATGGACCTAAGACAGACTGAGCGTCTTCAATTTATGTCCAACGGTGGGAGGTTTGTGCTTAATCGCTATGGAAAGCGTGGGTCACCGAAGATGGCAAAGTGCCAGAAGAGCCGCGCGCGACACGTGCCGCGCGGGTGTTGTAGGGGTAGAATCTGCTCGCGAGCCGTGGCCCTGCGTCCACCTACAGTATGATGTTGCCTCTGTAGCCACGTAGAAATCTCTAACTTCTTTATCGCGCTGTATTGAGAGATGAAAGTGGTATGTTCTTTATGAACAAGTATAACAGTTCAAAAGACACGGAGCCATTTTGAGGATCACTTGATCGCGGGGAAAGTTTTTAATGACCAACTTAGAGTACCCTAGTTGCGCTCGATGGGCGAATAAAAACCGTCGTGGGATCATGGTAATCGCCAGTGATGTGCGATTACACGGCTACTATTCGGTATTTACGTAACATCATAGCAACGTCGCGATCGCGCAATCGTCAAGTCAGAACGCGATCTTAAGCGTTTTACTGGCTGCACAACCTGCACTAGCAGTTTTTGCTTGCATCAAACTAGAATATAATAACAGTTTTTGCTTGCATCAAACTAGAATATAATAAAATATAAAATTTATCCGTGCTGTGAACACTCTCTTGGCAAGTGGAAAAGATATACGAAAAAAATGGAGCAACTCACATTGTATAACCTGAAAAGAGTTGGATACTTTCCCAATGATACGGCCCGACGAACTTGCATAGCAAACGAAACACACTGATCTGCTCGAAGCGACTCTACTAAACCTGAAAACAACTCTACTAGACATGAAAACACAAATTTGACGGCGATAATTATATTCATTGGTTCAAACAAATTTTGAGGAGCCCAAACGAACATGCCCATTCTAGTGATTCACGACAAGCGCCATCTACAATACTTTGATTATTCAAAACTCACCTTTCAAAAGCGATGAAATATCAAGCGTGTTCGACATCGCTATATAATAAAGGAGACGATATGCTATAAACTCCGCTTCATTTGGGCAGTCCACCACTTCATGGTACAACAATTTCAATTGGCTCTGACACTGAAATGCAATAAATCACGATGAGCAGTGCGTATTTGAACCTTCCTTGATATTCACAAAGGAAACGGAGCTCTAATTGATACAGAATCCAGCAAGGATACAAATGGGGCCTCTTATCAGTTTTCAGGAGTACTGGTCTCTGTTATGCCACCACTGATTCTTCCGGCGTGATTTACTGGTGGCTGGTTAGAAAAAAAAAGCTTGATTGACAAGGTTGTATGGCCCGCACCACGGATCGAACTTTCCCTATGTGAACCATCAATCTCTCCAGGGTGGTTGATTAGGTAACAGGACTGATGGGAGAATAGAAAAAAAAATCCATCTTGCCCGATCATGTTAGTGAGTGAGGTTCAAGAAACGCTCAAAGAAATCCGTGAGTGAACAAAGCAGGCACTGTGGTGCACTCGAAAATGGTTAACGCCTAGTGCTCCTCAACTTTTCTAAGAAAAAAAATTGAAGAACCAATAGGATTCAGCACGATACCTTGTTGAATTCTTCCCGATCTTTATTCTCAAGTGCTATTCGAGCATTGATTTCATAAACTTGTACCGTGAACTTGTTTCTAATCCGTTGTACAGTGAGATCTTGCCTGAAACCAAGAACACATCAAATACTGAAAATGACGCTGTTACTCTCTACTATGCGCTACTCATTTTATTTTCGATCCTTGAACATTATAAAGTCACCTTATAGATCGAAGCTGATCTGACAAATAGCGATACGGCGCCTTGGAGCGGTACTTCTCCTTGACATTCTCCAAAGACTTTTCAAGGACTTCCGGTGGACGTACCTGGCTTGGATCTGGTGCCTAGAAACCAGCAGTGGCCTTTCACACGCACAATTCGCCCTCACAACTGGGGATTCTCAGGAGAAATTCGAAAACTCACTGCTGTAAGCCTGAAAAAGCTCTTCTCAATGTTTTGACAAGTGCCTCTCACAAGCTTCATCCGCACTGGGCGAGCCGCAGCCATTGTAGAAGCCGCCGCATTGCGTGCATCTTCTGCAAACCTTCGCGCTCTCTCTTCAATCCTGCTTGAGTCCTGAATTTTATTAAATGATTGATTAGCAACACACTTGCTCGAATTGGTTGAAACTGCCCAAGAAAGAGAATTTTTTCGGAATTTTTTCCCTCATCATTTCCACTACTCCGAATAAAAGCTTTGCATGAAATCGGTAAAAACGACGGTCGAGAGATGCTACGTACCTCTTCGACATGCCAACGAGTGGCCGACTCTTTCTTGTGTTTCTCAGCATTTTGTTGTTTGCGCTTTTCCTTCTTGGCCGCATGAGCTTCACGTTTACGTTCTTTTGGAGTCTTCTTCTTCGAAACAATCGACTAAAACAAAATATGTAAGCATGAATCCTTCGACAGTTGAAAAAACATAGTAATTTGCAAGGAAAGGGATAAAAACCTTTAAACAGCCTAACCAATTCAAAAGATGAAAACCTAAAGTTATCCTAAAAGAGTTGCTCATGAAGAAAGCATTAGTTTCATCTTAGATATCAACTATGAGTTTAAAATCTTGGTGTGCATGAAATTTTTACACCCCAAAGAAAACCATCGCGCCGACACCTTGACTTTCAGAACTTCCAGATCGCTTGAACTGCTACTTGTACGCCGATCGCGTTTAGAGTCGGCGCTGGCGTCAGACGACGCCGTCCGCTTACGTTCACGTTTAGATTGCTGCGCCGTGGTCTTGCTGGCGCCATTGGCCTGCATCGATGCACGCAAAGTGGCTACAGGGGTCCATGAGGCTGGAAGTTCGTAACCACGTTCGTGTGGCAAAGGCTCGCGATCCCAGTCGATGGCACGTGTCGTTCCTGCCTGCAACAGCGGTCGCAGCCGCTTTTCCAAATACTCCTGCACCTTTTGGCGGTCCTCGGCACATTGCGTCGCCAGATACGCTCGTTCCACGTAGCGCCTGAAAATGTGTGGTTAATGATAAATATGAATCACGAATAGTGCTTTACTTCGAATAAAAAAAGAAATTTCAGTTTGTTCGAATGTCATTACGGAACAGCTCATAGCACATGACTAAAAACAATCGTTATTCAAACCACAGCTAAGATATTAACAGATTTACTCGACTGATGTTTCGGCATAGTCGCCTTCGTCGGAGCCAGGAAAGTCAAAGACAAAGTGACCTACCGCCGAATGCCATTTCAGACTTAAGAGCAGCTCACCAAGACTAAAGGCGTCTAGGGTGGTCTCGTAGCCTACAACACAAATCAACTGACCTTAGGAGAGCACGGCTAGCACAAGAAGCCACCCACAGTGAGTCAGTTTAGCGGTGGTCGAAACCCGAGCTAGCCGTTCTCTCTTAAGGTCAGCTGAATCGCGGTGAGCTACGAGACCTCCTAGACGCCTTTAGTCTATGGTGAGATGCTCTCAAGTCTAAAATGACATTCGGCGGTAGGTCACCTTATCTTTGACTTTCCAGGCTCCGACGAAGCCTACTAGGCCGAAACGTCAGCCAAATGTTTTATCTTGGCTTGGCTTTCGTATGAACCCAACCAGGAAGACCTCACCCGATGCCGAGATTCATTGAAATATCATTCGACCATGGATGCTAGTCGTTATTCAGTAGAAATTTAGACACTATTGCACCTATTTATTTATGACAGAATTCTAGTGCTTAGGATAAGAAGAAGCAAGCGCTATGGTGACGAGACAGTTACGGGAGCTGAACAGTAGCCCTTGTTACAGGAACTGATAGCAGTGTACGTTGAAGTCGTACGCCTGTGGCATACACTTTCTTATGAGCGGAAATTTTGACCATTGCAAACCCCTGACGACATTACCAAGCAGTTTCGAGCAGTGGAAGTGGCTTGTCTTAAGTGTAAATGAAAAACGACGAGATACTCTCGATTATTTGATATGGGAACTTATGCATGTATAAGGAGGTAGCGTCACAACCATTAATGGCAATCCACTTTCAATGCTCCAAAGAGCGTGATAACGGCGTCAATGGTTTGCACTGCATTACCATCAGTTTCTGTAATGAGTGCTGCTGCCAAACTCACGTAGCATTGTCTGGTGGCCGTGACGCCTCTGTTCACTGCTTTACAAATAGAACAAACGAGTCTTATTGGGGGTATAAGTAGTCTTCCACTTCCAAGGGGAATTTTTTTTGGATCTTCAAGTGAGCTATTCAAGATCCAAGACATTGTGAAGTTGCAGCAACCGATACCCTAACCAGTCCTTTGGCTAGTAAATCCATGCGCTCTTGAATGATTAGAAAAAAAAAGACGCAGAAAGACTTACATAATAACGACACGTACCTTACATTATCTGGCATCACACCAAGTCCGCCCGGTGATTGTGCGCTCACAACGGACGGTGCCTGTGCCAGCGTTTTCGGAGCCGTTGGTACAGGAGCACGAGCAGTTAAAGTGAATGGTGTGAACTTCTTCGGAATGACAGGCTGCGGCTGCTTCTGGGGTTGCGCCTGTTGTCGATTATTCCACTGTTTTGCATTGTTCCACGTTTGTTGCTGTTTTTTCCATTGTTGATTGTTCGATGACGATTGTGTATAGTTTTGTTGTGGTTGTTGCTGATACCCCGTGGCATAGTTCTGAGCTGGAGGATACTGCGTACCATATTGATGAGCCATCCACGGGTAGTACTGCATCATGAGAGCATGAGCATTGAGAGCCTGCGAAGAAGGAGGTGGAGGAGGCTGATTGTTCGTAGTTTTTGTAGGAGTTTGTGTTGCAATCTGAAAAAAAAGAATGGACTAAATGACTACATGCAAACTAAAATAAGCACTCTCTCCCGCCACAAAAGCCGAAAATTCTGGGATCTCGGACAGAGTTTAATGACCTCATGTGTCTGAAAGCTGCCTCGGAACTCCATTACTCAATTTTGAAAAAGGTTCATATACAAAAACATGGTAGGTACTACCTTTTTCAAAGCTTGTTGTGCTTTCTCCCAAGCAGCGTTGCCTTCAGCCGATGGTGGAGGAGGTGGGGCGCTGCCTGGCATCGGAATTGATTCTAACATGTCCTTTCTGAAAAAAATGGAGTAAATAAGCTGATCGATCCGGTTTACTTAGATATTTAATCCAATTCTTGTGTTGCAATTGGGGATCAGCACAGCGAACGAGATTCCCAATTGAGTACGACATATCTTTTGATCAACTGCAGCACTAAACGTCGCAGTTTGCGATGATATGAAAAAATTCTAGTCTACTATAGGTCTGGACAGGGTGCAGCATCGTGATTTGTGAAATGAAATGGTCGATGCGACCCCCCCCCTCCCCAGCAAAATATCCCGGTGCAATCCCCCTCCTTTTCCGGCTCTAATTAATTGCTCTGACGAGAGGGACTAGATAGGTGAAGTCTTGCAAGCGCTTGCGGCCGCGTTGTGATTCCATGGCAAATCAGGCTTGTAGCAGATCCGTTGGCCGGCTGGAAATCGCGAGGCTTTTCTGGGAATGATAGCTTTCTTAGGTGTAGGGCTTTTGGGAAACGGAAGGCGGCATCTTGAAGCAATGTCGTTCGCGAAATATTCCGGATGGGCTACGGATGCGTCAAAGGTTACTCGCGAGCGGGTCTTTATGTTTCAGACACAAATAACCTTTTTTCCAAACGCGATTTCTTGCAAAGGTGGAAACGCCATAAAACGCTCAATATTTCCTCTTCCTAAGGAGCTTGACAGTTTTCGTGAAGACTAGCTAGTTCAGAAGATATTTTAGATTTCAGTCGCTTTTGGGCGACATTCCGAGTCACTCAGAGAGAGGCCAGGGCACATTACTGGTTGGGGATTTTAGTCGAGTCTGTACGACCCCCCCCCTTTTTTTTGGGGGGGTAGGGGTAGGGCGATACAGTACGCATAAAACAGGAAATAGTTGCCAGACAATACAGCCCCTTTTACGGCAATTTGCAGATTTTCCCCTAATTTCCTGTCACTTTTTTCCAAAATTTCCCGAAAGTTCCTACTTTTCCCCAAAAATTTTGCTGTCGAAGCGGCGCGGGGGGGGGGAAGGGCGGGGCATATACTACGCATGAAACAGGAAAATCACGAGAAGTCAACCATCACTCCCCCACTTCCTAACAATGACCAAGTACGACCCCCCCCCCCTTTACAAAGTCTGTGAAGCGAAAAAAATCGACCGCTAAAATAAATTTTTCGACCGACCCCCTATTGGGGAGTCCCCAACAACGATGTGCCCTGACAGAGGCTCGATTCCTCCTGTGCCATTGTAAAGATACTTATTCGCGAACTTCAATATTCCTGATACTGAATGCCCGTATGCTCCCCCTGAAAAAGTCCCATAACTTTGTACTGGTAGGTCCGCAGCAGATGGGAAAACGGTTCCGTGATGCCCGTCCAAAGACATTTCAGCCGATACATCTCATTTCAAATGACCGCTCCAACCTACCATCCTTCCCCTGTTAGCGGTGACACCTTTGTGCTGTTTGGTGCTCACCGACTGCTGGCGTTACGACCCCCCGCCCCCCCCCCCCACTAGCGGCGAATTATGAACTCCTGTGGGTTTCGCACACCGACACTGTACCCTGAGCCCGCAATTCGTTAAGACACGCCACACTGACAAGCGGGCGCACACAGCCCCCCCCCCTCCAACTACGTTAGTGCCACTCCGTCTTATACGACACATATTTCCATTCTTTTTCCGCATTTTCCTAAATTTTTGATAGCACTGAACTACTTCTTTACTTCCGAGTTCCTCCGCCAATAAACGTTAGTTAAGACACGCCATCTCATCTACGATTTTTCTCTAGTGCAGGGGGATGAGGATTTCTATCAAAGGGGGATGGTAAACGATTCTGTGTGGAGGTTTTCCTGCTAAATCGGTTTTCCATTTCTTATGTGGAAAGTTTACACACACCGCCTCGTTCCCCTCCTACGTCAACAACACCTTCTGATACGTAACTATTTGGAAGGAGCCTATTTCGGACTAGCATCGAAAATTTAACTGGAGTTTAGTCCACATCCGCTTTCCACTAATGAGCACGAATCCATAAGGAAGAAATGAATTGCGGGAAAGCAATCATTACGGTTGATGAACCGCATTTCTGCTAATCGTGCTGAGGCGATGACAAAGCTATTTGCAACCTTACCCTGAATCCGCGGACCATATTGGCATTTTATACAACTTGTAAATTACTTTCGAGAAACTCACCCGTCAGGGAACATGACCGGTATTCGGAGTTGCGTGAAAATGAATGTTCCAAGCGAAAATCTGAAAAGTATCATCGGGAATTTTTGGTATCAGACATATTTTGAAGTAATAAACAATGCCAAACGATAATGATTTACCAACGAATCAATTGAAAGAGAGCAAACGAAAAGGACCTTAGGACGCCGCGGGCCCGCCCCGGTTCGATAACTTATTAAAGGTGTACTTTTGCTCTGAGTTCGATTGGAGCACGGTATTTTCTGTGTCATTGAGAGGGGATCGAAACTTATTGAAACGGGAACTTGTGAGCCAATGGCTCACTTCAACATTTTTCCATTGTTTTATCGAAGGGAAGAGCTTAGGTATTTTGTGTGGCAAAAGTGTTTGTGATCTGAGGTGACATTTTCATTCTAGTAAGAACAGCCTAAAAGTATTTTTCCATAAGTGTAGAAACCTTAATTTAATATATTTCTGGAGTTCACATCGTCAAAGTTCTAGGAGCACATGTGTGAAGCCAAATGGACCGCCGCCCGTGTGAAATGGTCAAACTTGGAGCGGTGAAGCTTATGGACTCTCTGCAACGAACTGGCTCGTACAGTGAGAGGTGTGGACGCGGAGTCACCAAAAGGTGGACTTTACTATTCGTTCGGGAAAAGGCGCCTTATTCCACATCCATGACATTGTTTTTGAACCGCATTGTATGCATGTGTGAGTTAGCACGTATATTTGTAACTAGTGTTATGAGAAACCATCTATCAGGTTTAAATTTCGCACCTAGTTAGTTGACTAAACACAATTAATCTCTCTCAAGAATCCCGCCTTTCATATGTTAAGAAGGTGAAGTTGTCACGCGCCCGCTCCAGTTTCCTTCTTTCAAGAGCTTAGCCGAAGGGCTTCGGGCGCTGACGCAGTGCACAACTTCGAAAAGTAACGCTCATCACGCCTCGCAAGATGCGAAGGGAAAACTGAGAACACTTCATCAGTCTAGTCACATTGACTTCGTCCTAACAATTGTGTGCATGGCTGTGCGCGTACAGGAAGTCCACACCTACAGTATTTTCGCAGCGGTAGAAGCCATCACCATATGATATGGCACGTGATATTATGGTCACACAAATCAATGAAATAACGAAAAACCGTTCATTTGAAGGATAAGCAGTTAACTCGTCTTGTGACATTGTAAATTGACAATATGTTTCGAGAAAACGACAATTTCAAGAATCTCTTTATTACCCTATTTGACATGCCAAATACTTGTATATAAATTCGAAAGGCGAGAACTAGTAAGAGCATGTGATTTAAGGATGCTTTGACGACCAGCACATTTCATGAGTTGTCAGCTCTTCGCTCGTTTTTTAGCCGCAGCATGTCCCCACGTATGTGAAACACTTCCGTGCAATTCTCAAAACTCACGTCGTAGCAACACGAATCACCATATGCCTGAATTCATCAACACTTAAGTCGGAAACAGAAGTTTTTCTCTGAAATGTGCCACTGAAATACGCCACTTTGCGCGCTATAATGATAAAATGATTAGGCAGCGTTCATACTTCGCGACAACAGTGGCGATCGCTGTGATCGTTGGTCGCGCGCCTCAACGCTTTTACTGACCGCTCGCTTTGATAAATAAGGAAATCCAACTTGCAATACCTTTTTCCTCTTGATAATGGCTACTAGCTGGAAACTGAGGACATTCTCTACCTAAGAGGATCTGGAATATCAGGGAGGAGATGGTTTCGCTATTCAATAGGTGAGCTTCTCTTTTTTCTTTTGTCTTCATTGTTTAAATCTGTATAAGTGTCTCGTTGTTACTGGCCAAACTGTTCAACTTCCAAAACATTTATACTTCACAGGGCGAACTCAAACAACGAAAAAAAGAAATGGAAAGGGGTTTTTCCTTGAATTAAGAAGAACTCTAGCACTTGAGTTAATTGTAATTAAAAGGAAAAAAAGCAAGAAATTAAGCCGATCTCTTCTAATAACACTCGGGGCGGTCCAAGTAATAGCGTTGAGGCGCGTTGTGACGCGTACCGATCGCAGCGATCACCACGGCTGTCGCGAAGTGTGAAGTTCCCGCGTACTCTGATGTCGGATGCCCAGCATTTACATCAAAAATGCAAAAAGATGTCAATGAACAAGTTGTGGTGTTATGCTAACTCACAAGGACATGACACAAGTAGTGGTAAAGATCTTCCCATGAGTGAGAGCACGGTAAGGAAGATAAGCACTCAAGCAGGGCCTACGAGCAGGAAACACGTGGTGTGAATCATGGCAACCAGGGCAATTTCGGATAGTTAGGGCTAAGTCGCGGGCGGGTTTTCATGCTGAATAACTTCTTTCGGACGCAATCTTTTGCAAAACTTAAAACAGCATCGGAACGCCAGTCTCTTCTCTTTCCAACAAGCAACACAGTTCTTCTGAATACCCGCTATTTTAAAAGATATTTCAGATGGGTTATCCTCGCGCGAGGTTCTCAGCCACACAAAGCTCGACTCGTTGCGCCATGAAGACACTTCTTCGCGAACTTCAATAAGCCTTCGAAACACATATTTCCGTGCCCCGAGTCTAAGCTTTATTTGGTTATCGATCGATATGGACCGAATGTGCACCGTGCATTACGCTTCTATGCAGAGGTGGTGGAAAGGTGTAACTTCTAATTTTAGATGATTTTTCCATGCAAACAGATGCTTGTTCGGGGTTTGTAAACATCGGTACGCACGAATCTGTTTGATTGTGAGATGTATTTAGCCATCTACATAAATACGAGTCGATTGTATTAATTTTCTGTAGTCTTCCTTACATTCGGGTCCTCTGCTGCTCCCCGTCCGCTCCATCAAACTTAGCGATGACACTTTTGTGC